CACACAAGCACCAAAGAATATACTTTCTATTCAGTGCCCCATGGAACTTTCTCCAAAATCAACCATGAACTGGGGCACAACACAAATCTCAACAAATACAAAAAGATTGAAATAATTCCATGCATTCCATCAGACCACAATGTAATAAAGGAGAAGGGTATTATTAAGGCAAAAATTGGGGAACTTTAAATGGGAAAACCATGGTGGAAGGGTTAAACAATGTAAGAGATAAATAATGTCTAGCTAGTTTTTAAAAAAAAAACAGAGAGAACCATATTAGACCAACAACCTACTGACTATATATACAACTAGCTCAAGGAACATAATATATGTCTAGGCGAGGTTTAACTGAGAACCTCTGGCTTTTGTCCAAGCTTTATGTACATACCACATGGTAATTAAAAGTACCAGACTGCTGGAACTAACCTTCTTGGATGTTTAACAGCCATTCTTTGAAGCCTATACTAATGTGGTCATAGGGACTTGAAGGGCATTTTTTGCCCCTTGGCCTCCAAGGTTGATTAAGTTCCAGGGAACTATGGAACATCTCTCAAAATGTCCTGTAACTGTGGTGAGTCACCTGTCCTCTTGATCAAGGAGGCCATGGAGACCCTACCAGATGGACTTGAACCAATGTCTAGTCTACAAAGAGGAGGATCAACACAGAGGAAACATTTCCTCCATGCTTCCAAGATAAGCCAACCACAGTTGAGCAGGACCTTTGACTTATTTTCACATAGATGGAACTGGTAAAAGAAAGGAGCCAGAAGCTCCTCCCAAGCCCATGTGACCCCTGAGAAACAGATCCTCCAATGACTTTAAGGGTAAAAATAAACTGGTTTATCTGGAACAACTCTATGATCTTAAACACCCAAAAGGAAAGTATAACCAAAGATTAAAGGGATCAGTATAGCTATTTAAGAGCCCATGTGTATAGCTAAAGCTACATAACAAGAAACAATGCCGGACAGGAGATACCTTCCTTTAAGTTGTTGGCCAGGGTGTCCCAGGAGACTCTCAGACAGTAACCCAGCATAGAACTGAGAAAATGAACAGCCGACCCCAATGTTATCTAAAGGAATGCTGCTACATGAAGAAGAGCTGATCTTCCTAAAACAAGGAACTCTAGATATGCTGACTAGATTCAGTGGATGGAAAAGCACTGGGGGATGGCTGGGGGCACTGACCACACAGAAGACAGTAACAGGGATCACAGAGTATATGGGCTCTAGTAGGGGAGGGGAGCTATGGGAGGGTGCCATTTGGGAAGTGGGTATATAGATGAATAAGATTGTTTGGGATGTTCTATATGAAATTACATACAAAAAAAATCAACAAATAAAAAATGAATTATATGGCTGGGTGTGTTGGTACATGCCTTTAATCCCAGCACTTGGGAGGCAGAGGCAGGTGGATTTTTGTGAGTTCGAGGCCAGCCTGGTCTACATAGTGAGTTCCAGGACAGCTGGGGTTACAAGGAGACCCTGTCTCAGAAAGACAAAAAAAAAAAAAATACTTATATTCAAGGAAACATAAAAATTTGCTTCATGTTAATTAGTAGAGTGAAAAACATTACCATTAAAATCTACCTGATGACTTTATATCCATGCCCAGGTGCCAAGCATCTCAGAAAGTAATCGACTGTGACTAGTAATAGTCAGATATATTGAGATTAGAGACATGTGTGCAAACATCTAAGTGTTAGTTGCACTAAAAATGAGTTTTTCTGTATGAAACAGTATATTTTAAAATGAAATGGAGATCTTTTTTAAAGGTTAAAACTTCATCCAGTTTTATGTCTTATAGGGTTTATAATGAGTACAATATTGTCTAATCGTATTAATTAAATCGTGAACCTAAAATTTACAGCCAGTTTTGAAAGAGATGCATCTTAGCTCTGGAAATTGTTTTTGAATATGTCAATGCTGCTGTAATGAAGTGATTCTTCTAGTTATTTTGTTATTAGATAAATATTTTTTTAAAAGATCAAATAGCCGGGCGTGGTGGCACACTCCTTTAATCCCAGCACTCGGGAGGCAGAGGCAGGCAGATCTCTGTGAGTTCAAGGCCAGCTCAGTTTACATAGTGAGTTCCAGGACAGCTGGGGCTACAGGGAGACCCTGCCTCAAAAAGACCAAAAAAAAAAAGATCAAATAGACAGTTGAACTAATACTAATTGCACTATAAGTGTTTAAGATAAATATAACAACAATCTAAATCATAAATTTTACACTAAAATTGAGCAAAATAGTTTCTTCAAAATATACATTGACAGGGCCAGCAGTGTGTTACAAACCAAAGGAAGAATAAGGAAGTCCTGTGTATCATTTTCCCTCTCTGTTTTACATTTTCAAAATTACAAGCTAATGAGTTTTCTGGGTCATCACCTGAGGACACAGTACACAGAGAACCTCAGGCTAGCAATCTTATTTAGTCGTGTGTATAGATAGCTTTCATAAAATTCCTGTGTTGAAGACGGGATGAGATCATGCAGTAATGGATTTAGTAAGATCTATTCTACTTCTCTATGATATAGCAATCTATACATATTGTTTTTATAAACTCAGAGGAACATTGAGAAATAGAAAACTTTCCAATGACTTGGCTACATTAACTCAGAACCAAAGTGCATCAATAACCATTTGAATATTTCCTCATTTTTTTTTTGAGAATTTCCCCCATTTATCTAACCAGTTCTCTTTTCCAGTTTTTATAAGCCTGTGGTTACATTAAGCTGGGGCTGGGGAGATGGTTCAGAGATTAAAGCATTGATTGCTCTCGATGAGGGCTGTGGTTCAGTTCCCAGCACCCACATGATGACTAACAATTGCCTATAATTATAGTTCCAGAGGATTTGGTGACCTTTTCTGGCCTCCATGGGCACTGTACAACACAGGTACATGTAAGCAAAATACTCATACACATAAAATAGAAAAATTTAAAAGCACAGTAAATCATCTATCTCAGATTTTTCTTTAATAGCCATGTATTTTTCTTTTCTTCATTTTATCTGGGAGGTTTTAAAAAACATTGTCCTCTGTGGGAGACAGGCTTGAGCCTAGGGTGAAAGTCTTATTGACAGCCATACAGCAGGCCCGAGGCAACGGCTGGACCGCTGGAGCCACAAGGAATGCCTTGTGACATTTGCTCCCATTGGCAGATCATGAGACTGATGTCCAGAGCTTGTCCCTAATCACCACCCTTGGAATTCCCAATGGCAACACTTATATATTGCAACAGTCAGGGTCATGTGGTTTCCAGGAATCCAGGCTTTGTAATCTGAAACCCATTATGCTAATAGGACGCTAAGACTGTTATACTAATAACGTATCCTACTTGCTGTGCTGTGATTGGACCACTACCCCTATATAAGCTTGTGCCTTCCTGTAATAAAAAAGACCTGTATCTCTGAACCTGGTCTCCTGTGTCTGAATGAGCCTCTGCCGACACTGTCTCCTCACCAGCTCTGGGGTCTGGGACCCAGCAGAAGCGGCAACAACAGGAGGCAGCCCAGAGCAGGCAGAAAAGCCACCTCAGCCCAGGGCGAGCAGAGGAGCAGCCTCCATGCCCATGAGAACAAAGGAGTGGCACTCACAAAACGGAGGAGTGGCCACCGCTGGCGGTCACCACAGTCCTCAAACATTTTTATTGAAATTTTGAGAAGCAGATTTTTAATTTCAGTTGTTTTTAAACTTAAAATTGTTCATTTTTATTAAGCTAGTTCTTCAGCCATGTCATACTATAGAATATATTCTAATTACTCTCTTTTACTCTTTCTTGTTTTCCCTACTCCTATCACTGCCCCCTCTCCCTACCAGTAACGTTTCCAGGTTCATAACTTTGGGTTTTGCTTTGTAACCCATTTAGTCTAACCAAGAACATCTGTGTGACCATTGGATTGGGACTTTCCATTGGAGCCTATGGGGTTACCAGTGGGCACACAACTGAAGGCAATGACTTCTCTCCCTGAATCTATTTGTAGGAAACACTTCAGCATGAGGGGTGGGGCCCCCTAACACCTCCTCTGTCCATCCTGGATGTTGATGGGCTAAAATTGTTTATTTTTTCATAGCCTCTTCTTCTTTTTCTATTTTAAAGAAGTTATATCTTCTTAAGTATATCTGGGAATAATAATCTGAAACTATTGAGATTATCTTGTTTCTTTAATTACCTTCACCTTTATAGCTCATTCCTCTGTGTACTTTACATGTTGTTAAAGTTCATTTCCTCACAATTTCATGTTACTGAATGTCATGGTTTAGTATGTGTCCTGGTTTGGACTTATGTCTTTTATTTTTCTCACTATATTCTTTAAGGAGTCTCAAGAAAGACTAAAGGTATTTTTGCTATGGTTGTTTCTTGAAGCTGAAGTTAGTCAGCTCCCTTTTCATGGTAAATTATCCCAACTCATAAAATTGGATTTTATAAATTGAATAGCACAAGTATTTTCCATGAATCTCTTGATTTCCATGAATCTCTTGAGCAGATTATTATGATTAATTTTACTCGTTTGTTAAAATTCAAATGTCAGTATGAATCAGTTTATCAGTCTAGAGGTAGGTTCTTCCTCCTGTAGTTTTATGATAAATACTAAGGATATTAATCCCTGATTCTATTAAATTTTGATGTGGAATTTTTCTGCTTGTGCTTTGTTGGAGTTGAATTGTGGATGAGTCCATACTTTACTGTCAAACTCTTCATGATCTTTCTCTTCTGCCTATCTAAAATGATTATGGACTGTCTCATTAAAAAAATAATAGTAAAAACTAGAAACTGGGACAAAACCATCTCTGTACAGTCAAAAAGTGAAGTCATAGTTCCTTGACACATACGCTTCGCTAATAATATTTAGGGAAAGAAGAAACTACTAAGAAGGATTTCTCTTTTCTTTCTATGGTAATGGGAAGTGTCTTACATAATGAAGTTGAATGTCAAATCTGAAAGCACTGCAACTTCAAGGCCCCACGATAGCAGCGCTGTGTCTGGTTTATGTTTTTCAGGTACTGTGACTTGTTTATATGAGATGAGAAGTGCAATTTTACTTGCTTCTTTGCTTTGCATTTCATGCATCTTTAACATCAGTCTCTGTATTGTTTTGAGAAAGAAAAGGTAAGTTATACAATCACTTGACTGTGATAGGGAAGCTTGGTAAAATAGAACCAACTTGTAATATTACCAAAAAATTCCAAGGTGTCACATTGGGCATGGTTGTGTGTGCCTGTAATCCCAGCCCTCAAGAGGCAGAGACACGCAGATCTCTGTGAAATGAAGGCCAGCCTGGTTCACATATGACTTCCAGGTGGGCTGGAACTAGGGAGACCCTGTCAAAAAGAAAAATTCCCAACAAACTCTGAATTGCCTTGCAATAATCTATCACGAAGAGAAATGTGAAGGAAGACTTTTCTATGTGGTTGGTAATTCCTGCCTTTGGAATGCTTATAAAAATAGACTGTTAGTAGTCATTTGTGTTTATGGTGAATGGAATGAAAGCAATAAATGATGGCAGGATAAGTGGAAACAAGAAAATGTTAGGCAATTACAGCAGAAACTGTAGAAAATGGGGCAGAGCTATGTGATTGAAGGAGATGGTGGGACTGGTTTATGCTGAGGGAGATGACATTTCAACTTATTTCTGAACCAAGAAAAAAATGGGTGATAAACTTTACAGGCAAGAAAGAAAGAAAAAGAAAGAAAAGAAGGAAGGAAGGAAGGAAGGAAGGAAGGAAGGAAGGAAGGAAGGAAGGAAGGAAGGAAGGAAGGAAGGAAGGAAGGAAGGAAGGAAGGAAGGAAGGAAGGAAGGAAGGAAGGAAGGAAGGAAGGAAGGAAGGAAGGAAGGAAGGAAGGAAGGAAGGAAGGAAGGAAGGAAGGAAGGAAGGAAGGAAGGAAGGAAGGAAGGAAAAATAGTTTCTAACCCAAGATGAGAATGAGCTTGGTGTGTTTGTTCCAAGAATGAAAAAACTGCCCAATGTGACTGGAAAGATGCTGTGGACACAGACACAGAAGCCAGAAAGGGTCCACAGGCCTGGAAAGTCAAGTGGGTATTTTTTTTCTGTGCAGCCTCCAACCATGGAAATGTACAAACCAAGGAAGCACGAAAGTCTTCTACACTCTAGAAGACTCACTCACTAGGATATTCAGGTGGTGTCTTACAGGACAAAATTGAAAGAGACTTTAAAAAGCCTGATGTAGTCATCAGGATCAGAGGAGATAACTGTCTAAAGAGGTAGAAAGGGGGTGAGGGGTAAAGGTTTTATTTAGGATGGCAACATTTGCTGAGAAACAGGTGTGGGTAAAGAGTGACAGGGAAGAACTATCCTACTCATGGCGAGCTTTTTGGCATAAAGAAAAACTTTTACAAATATATATAAGACTAGAGGAAGAACAAGCTTTGGATGGAGGATTCGGAATTCTGTTTTGAACACATTAATTTTGAAAAGACTATTTTATACCTCACAGAGTATTTTAACTAAATATATATACATATGAATCTGAGATTTGAGGAACAGATAAGGATATGTTTTAGAATGTAGAGGATATGGTCTCCAAGGAGACAAATCATGTTATTTTTTCTCACTATTATAAAGCACAAATAATAGGAAATTCTACAGTTTGGGTCCATCTCTCAAGAGAATTCAATTCTGGATATCTCAAGTTTTAACTCTTGCAATCTGCTGCCATGTAAGGAAGTGTTTGGTCTGTACTCAGCTTCTGTCTGTAATAATGTCATGGTATCTCTAGGTCAGAGAACATGCCCAAATCATCAACATCAACACAGGAACCTGAACCGTCATCAACACAGATGCCTGAACCATCACCAGAGATCGAGAACTTAATGGGTTTCCGTCATCGAACACAAATGATTGACAGTTTGTGACATTTTTTTCCTGTTATTGTATATTCCTTCAGACTTAACCTTTCAGATTAAATCATGCATTAGATAGCAGCAACTATCATTTTAGAAATAAGTGGAGACAAAAATTTATTTCAATAGACAATTCTATTCCAGGAAGCAGTGGATTCAAATCAAGTTTTATTCATTTTAATTTATTTTTAATTTTTGAAATTAAGATTAGATTTATTTTAATTGATACTTAAAATCATACATATTTATGGGGTACCATGTCTGTTTTGATACCATGTTGAACATATCTATTCATTCAAACATTTATCACTTCTTTATAGTGAATTTCTGTGTATTTGCTGTGTATTTAGGATGTCTTTCCAAAATGTTGTATGTCTTCAATTTCTTCTGTCTACATAGTGTGATCTTCATTAGTAAGATCTTTGGGAACGCTGATGTTGTTTTTTAGTATAATTAACCTCACCATGTGTTTGTCAAACATTTATTTAAGTTCTTTTTAGGAAAGTTTAAAATTTTCCTCTCTCTACGCTGTGTAATTTTTGCAGAGCTAATTCTTAATGCTTTTTATTTGTTCACTGTATGAATGATAGCTTGTTTTTTTTTTGTTTTTTAATGGATTTAGCACCTTTATTTTAAAAGGCTCCAGAGGGCAAGCCAGCTTTTCCCAGTGAGGACAAAAAGAAAGTGACATCTGAAAACCAGGAAACATACTTTCAGCAAACACTTAATTTGATGCCAACTTGAGCTTGAACTTAAACTTCCTAGGCTCCAGAATGTTGAAAAATAAATCTATTTAAAAGCTACCTTATTGTATGGAAAATCCCATTTCCCTGTACTCATCCACCACCTCTGGCTCTTACAATCTTTCTGCCCCCTTGTCTGCAGTAATTCTTCAGCTTTGGGTGGCATAGGCTTGATATAGGTGTTCTAGTCAGGGGAAAGTGCTCTGTAGTCCCTCAATCTCTACATGCAGCCAGTTGGCGGTCTCTGGGTTATTCAACACTTGCTGCATGAGGAAGGTTATTAGGTGAGAGTTCAGAGATGTACTAATCTATGGGTATAATAATAATGCATTAGGAGTCGGTTTATTACTATATCTATGACTGGCTACTTTTGGGGGGTGGGGAGTTTACCCTAATTGTTTAGCCAATTCCTACCTCCTATTCTTATCACATCACCCTCTGAAGAGGTTACCCAAATTGCCAATAGGGAATCAGGACGAAGACTGCTCTGGCTTCTTCCATGCTGAACAGGGATACAGGGTGAGGCAAATGGAGAACCATTTCAGTGGGTCTATCTAAAAGACTCTCAACTATAACTCTTATCTCTAAGGGGAAAAGAAAGTCCTTGAATCATGAATAGGAGATGTGAAGGAAAAGTAAAGGCAAGAGTAATTAGCATTACAAGTTCTAGACAGGGAACTAGAAAAAGTCAGAACAGGGCAATTTTCAAATTGTCGTATGAGAGTCCATTGGAATTTCTTTACAAGGGCTTCCAAAAGCATCCCTCTATTGGGTTCTTCCTCATTTTTCTTTTGTCTTCCAAGGCTGGACTCGAGAGCGAGGGATTCAGGATTTGCTTTCAGGTATTTTGATAGCTGTTGGAGTGGTTAGAATCAGTGTCAAGTCCCTCTCAAAGGCTTCTAGGTAATGGGAGAAAACAAATTTATCCATCATTTTAGAATAATAGCTAGTTGTCTCTCTTAGCTACAGGTGGGCACTACAGTATTAGAGACAAAAATCTGAACTCTTACATCTGAGCTGCACTTTCTAGTTAGGAACAAAATTATCAATAAGAAATAATTGTGTAAATAACTTTTTATATGGGCTTAAGCCTAATGCCTTGGAAGTATAATCCCTTCAACTCTTAAAGAAATATACTGATGACTTTACTATTTGGTTATACTTTCCTTTTGGGTGTTTAGGACCAACTAAATCAATTTATTTTTACACTTAAGGTCATTTGAGCATCTGTTCCTCAGGGGTTACATGGGCTTGGGAGGAGCTTCTGGCTCCTTTCTTTTACCAGTTCTATGTATGTAATGATAAGTCAGAGGTCCTGCCCAACCATGTCTGGCTTCACTTGGAAGCATGAAAGAGATGTTTCCTCTGAGTTGACCCTTGTCTTTGTAAACTGGACACTGGTTCAAGTCCATCTCATGAGGTCTCCATGGCCTCCCAGAACAAGAAGACAGGTGACTCACCACAGTTACAGGACATTTTGAGAGATGTTCCATAGTCCCCTGGAACTTAGTTGACCTTGGAGGGCAAGGGCAAAAACTGTCCTTTAAGTCCCAGATGAACCTTAACTAGATATATATTTTTTTCCTTAAATTAGTTGACTAAACTATGATCATAGACATTTTAAGATTATTTGTATATTATTTTTGTCTCATCCTTTATATATCATAACAAACTTACACAGATTTTCATCACTTGCTTAAGCTTTCTCATTTTTTCTGTCTATTTTGGAAAATATCTCCATTCCCATATCCTTATAACAACTTTTACATTTTCAATTTCTTTTTTTTTAAATAATTATGAGACATGATAGAATTAACAAGTACATTTTCCATCTGTTGTGAGACTCCTTTTCCTGGGGAGGCTAAGCAATGCTTATTACACTTTTAAGGTTCTAGTGTCAAGCTAATGTTTGATTAGAGTTTTACTGGGGAACCAATGAATTTATTGAGCTTACTTATTGAGATAACTGAGGGGTTGCTAAGGTTGTATGTATGACCTGAGGGTATGCACACTGGAAAACCTTAACCCAACATGGGTCATGGCTTCTCTTCCTAGCCTTCCCCAGACTGAATACTTTAGCCCTTCCCAAATCCAGAAGGCCATGTGTGATTAGGGCCAAATTACATACAGTTGCTGGGAAGAGTAGCTGGATGCTTCAGTGAGTGTCCAATGACCCTGCTTGGCCCTCCTTTAATGAATGAGCACAACTGTCAGGAAGCCCAATTGTGATGATGTTCAGCCATCAGGCTCAGCTGAAGTCATGATGATTGTAGTTATTTCATGCAGAAGAGACTTCTGTATAGCACCATTTATTAAAATGACCTGGAATTTAAAAGGATTTGGTGGTAGGATCCACATATGAGGGAGAACACAGGTCATTTGTTTTCCGAATCTGTTACTTCACTTAGAATAACAGTTTCTAGATCCATCCATTTATCTGCAAATTTCATTATTTCATCTTTCTTTACTGCTGAATAGAACTCCATTGTGTGAATATACCACATTTTTGTTAATCACTGGTGAGTTGAGGGGCACTTAGGTTGCTTCTGTCTCTTAGCTATTATGAAAAGAGCAGCAAAAAACTTTGGTGTACAAGTGTCTCTACAATAGGATAAGTCCTTTGGGTATATGCCAAGGAGTGGGATGACCAGGTCATATGGTAGGTTCATTTTTAGTCTTTTAAGAGTTCTCCACACTGTTTTCCATAGAGGTTGCATGAGTTTGCAATCCCACCAGCAGTGAATGAGTGTTTCCCTTTCTTCACATCCTTGACAGTATTTGGTATCGTTTGTTCTCTTGATTCTAGCCAGTCTGATTGGGGTAAAGTGATACTTTAGGGTGGTTTTAAGTTGCATTTCCCTAAGTACTAAAGACGTTAAATACTTTTGGAGATGTTTCTTAGCCATCTTTGTTTCTTCCTTTGAGTACTCTCTGTTTAGATCTTTAGCCCACCTGCTCATCGGGCCATTTGGATTCTTGATTCTTTTTTTTTTTTTTTTTTTTTTGAGTTCTTTATATATTCTGGATGTTAAACGTCTGTCAGATGTGTCACTGGTGAAGACTTTTCCTCATTCTGTGGGTTTTCTCTTCACTTTTTTAATTGTTTCTTTTGCTGTACAGAAGCTTTTTAGTTTAATGAAATCCCACTTGTTGATTGCTGACCTTAATTCCTGAATAACATCTGTCCAATTTAGAAAATCGGACTATATCTTGCAAGTTACTGCCAATATTTTCTTCTAATAGTTTCAGAGTTTCCACTTTCACACTGATTTCTTTGATCCATTTGGATTTGAATTTTGTGCAAGGTGAAAGAATAGGGCCTAGTTTCATTCTTCTACAGGTGGAGATCCAGTTTTGCCAGCACCATTTGTTGAAGATGCTGTCTTTCCTCCATTGTGTGTTCTTGGCACCTTTGGCAAATATCAGGTGCCTGAAATTGCATGTACTTGGGTTTGGATCTTCAATGATGTTCCATTGATCTATGTGTCTATTTTTGTGCCAGTACCACTCTGTTTTTATAACTATAGGTCTGTAATATACTTTGAGATCTGATATCGTAATCCCCCCAGTGTTGCTCTTTGTGCTCAGGATTGCTTTGGCTATCTGCGGACTTTTGTGCTTCCATACAAATTTAAGGATGGTTTTTTATAATTCTGTAAAGTATGTCATGGGGTTTTGATTGGGATTGCATTTTTTGAGATCTGATATCGTAATCCCCCCAGTGTTGCTCTTTGTGCTCAGGATTACTTTGGCTATCTGTGGACTTTTGTGCTTCCATACAAATTTAAGGATGGTTTTTTAATAATTCTGTAAAGTATGTCATGGGGTTTTGATTGGGATTGCATTGAATCTATATATTGCTTTTTGTAGGATGGTAATTTTCACAATATTAATTCTTCCAATCCATGACTTTGTGAAGTCCTTCCATCTCCTGGTGTCTTCCTCAATCTCTTCATTTTAACGATTTAAAATTTTCATTGTAGAGATCTTTGGTGTCATTGGTCAGATTTATTACAAGATTTTTTAGAGCAATTGTGAATAGGAACATTTCCCTGTATTCTTTCTCCAATTGCTTGTTATTAGTATATAGAAAGGCTACTGATTTTTGTAGATTGATTTTATAACATGGCACTATACTGAAAGTGTTAATCAGTTCTAGGATTTTTGTGATGGAAATTTTGGGATCTCTTAGGTATAGTATCATATCATCTGCAAAAAATGATAGTTTGACCTCTTCTTTTCCAATTAGTGTGCCTTTAATTTCCTTCTCCTGTCTTATTGCTCTAGCAACAGTTTCAAGCACTATGTGGAAAAGGAGTGGAGATAGTGGACATCATTTTCTGGTGCCTGATTTTAATGGGAATGCTTCCAGTTTTTCTCCATTTAGAATGATGTTGACTGTGGGTTTGTTGTATATAGCTTTAATTATGTTGAGGTATGTTCCCTCTAGTCCAGTTCCCTTTAGGACTTTGAATATAAATGTATGCTGAATTTGTCAAAAGCCTTTTCTGCATCTATTG